GAAGTACAGTACAAGTGTTTGCCAACGAAAGAGACAAAGGTATACAAAGGACAAGCTTATACGACAATCGAAAGGCCTGTGCAAAGATTGGTTGTAATTGTTGCGGCAAACGAATCGTTTGAAAGAAACTAATACCTTGGTTCGCAATAATTTGCTGCCCGGAGTGTTTTGATCAGATAAGTTTGTAATTGCGAACTTGGGACTGGGAATAGATTTTCCCGCCAAAAGAAAACATTAGAATAATTAATTAGTTTTGGTATGCATGCTAGCTTGTAGGTTGAAATTTATATCTCCGTTGAGAACTGTTTGGACTGGTTTATTCTCCGTTGAGAACTGTGGCAGCTGTCTCCGGCGAGACATATATACATGACTTGGACTTATGAGAGCCCATAGTGTAAGTACGTTAAATAATGCGTCATTTGGCCTGTTGTTATGTGGGATTAGGGGTAATTATTTATGTAAATTCATATTTTGTTCGTAGGTTCGAAACCTTATTACGATACTGTTTACGATATTGTGTGCCTCATTTAAATTGACGAAACAATTATAAGAACTTATTCCAGAAGATGGTTGAACTGATTCAGGATTTGATGCAAGATGTTGTGGCAACGATTCATTAAAAGACTCTGTTTCATCAGAATCGTCAGGTAAACTTTGTTGCAAATCTTCATTTTCCTGGTCATTTATTGGATCATAGGAGTGAGTTGGTACGCCATCAAAGTTTCGTAAACTTTCTAGTGCTTCATTAATAGCATCACCATCTGGCTCAAATATTTCTTTGTTGCATTGTACTACCTCTTGAACATCTGACTCATAAAACTTAGATATGTATGTTTGGTCTTCGCCAAGGAGTTCCTGCTCGTTACGCCACGGAAAATACAACATGAGAAGGTGGTGAAAATATTTTTCAGGCTCTTTTCTTTTGTTTGGAGTGTGATATCGAATGACAGCTTTAATTTTTCTGCACTTCATAATTTCTTTGCTGTTTACAAGTTTTATTCGTTCGGGAAGTCCAGTATTATGATTTTCGATATTTTGGGATTCAATGAAGTCATCGCTTAACACTTCAGGTTGAGAATCGGATACTTCGTTAAAATCACTTTTGTAATCTTTGAAATAGTGAGCAGCAAATAAAGCTAAACACATATCATTAACGACAGGAATGTTTTTCGGTCTGTCGCTGTAACGGACAATAATGTTAGACTTAAAAATGTCAGTACTATCATCATCTAACTCATCAAGTTCTTGTTGTTTCCTCGCAAATCTAATGCGATTTTCAGCAAAATCCGTGCTAACAAAGAGGGTTTTCGGGAATATTTTTCTTAACCAGAGTTCAGGCATACATCTGTAAACGCATTCTTGAGCACTGACTTCACGAGTCGAGAGAAAAGCTGCACCTATTTTTCTTAGGCCATCTCTTACATTTAAGTTGGCTTCTTTGGCCTCTTTTGCTGCATTTATGATGGCTTGAGAACATTCAGTTTCATCCTTTGTAAAGTAAGAACAAACGTATGTAATACACTTATAATGATTAAACACTGGTTGCAAGTCAACATTTGCAGCAAATCCTTTTAACCCAGCAATAAAGTAATTGTTGGTAAAACAACTGTCTATTGGTCGTTTCAGGTGCAATTCATGGTCAGAATCTGGAGATATTGATAAAGCCCACTGATAGTCTTGTTCTGTAATATCTATTTCATTTAGAATGTTAATTGGAGTTGCATGTGGGTCATAAGTAGGTTTGCTTGGGTTTAGCACATCATCAATTTTTTGTTTAACTTTAGACAAAATTTCCTTTCGTCTGGTTAGAATATTGGATTTAATGTCATCATCCATATCTTCAGCCAAAGGTTCAGCAACAATTGTTCTGTCAGTAAAAAACTGTCCAAAGTTAAATCTACATGTAACATTCTTATACTTTCTACAGGTTTTACTGTGATTATGTGTCTGGTATGTTTTTACCAAGTCATAAAGTTGGGGATCTGTTTCTTTGTCTGGGAGGTATGCTTGTACATGTTGGTCAATGTAATCTATGTATGCATCTTTTGTATCGCTCGTTAATTCTGGGCAATCAGATGTCCATATTAAGGCGTGCAAATGTGGTGAACCTCTCATTTGAAATTCGATACGGAGTGCATAATATACTATCTTACCAATTGGGTTTGCATTTGTGAGCAAAACGTCCCTGAAAAATGTTTCGACTCGATACTGGAAATGTTTAGCTACAATAACTGGATTTAAATTTAACATTGAGCATCGCTCATGATACGACAGGGCCTCTACTTCTTCAGTTGTTATGTTGTTGCCTTTTGTTCTTGCAATTATCTGAAATAGCTCAGGCCATCTTAAATCTGCACATGATAAGGTCATGAACCATGTTGGTATTCCCAGCTGTTTAATCATTGCTACCACTTCATACATGAATTTTTGCCAGTAAGGAGGTGAGCCAGGAATTTGTCGTAAAAACAAATATGCTTGATCTTGCAAAAGAAGATTTTGAAAAGCTTGACTGTTTGATTTTACTTGTGATGCTGTGACTGACTGGCCATGTATTTTTTTAAGAGCTATATTAATACTATCAGAAATCTTTTTCTGTTCCATAATGAATTGTGCAAAGAATAGATACTCTGGATTGGTTGCAAATTTCCCACTATAATGCAAGAGGCGAGCATTGAAATATTTTATTGGAGATAATTTTATGTCTCGTTCAGAGGTATAACCAAATCGTCCCTTTGGAAAGAGTACTGGAAATGAGAGTTCCTCACAAAGCTTATCAGTCATCAATGATACTGGGTGTTTACCTTCACCTGGTGCAATGTTGAAAACTTCTCTACCTGTTGAATTACAGTTTGTATTGTCCATGTTAACAGGATAATTTGGCAAGATGGACTGAAGACAGGTTTCGCTTGCTGCTGAACGGTGTTCATTTAATGGATCATCTTGTTCTTCAACATCTTCATTACACAGTTCTCTATTTACATTACTTTGCAATTGCTCATCTATATTTTCTTGGTCAGTATCAGGAGAGTTCAGATTAGTTAAGTCTGAGCTAATATTGTCACATTGAATTTCAATGTTTCTATATAAAGTGTTGTTTGCTACAAGCCAGTTTAATGCACTAATTACAAACTGAGGGCGAACTGCTTGAAAGTAAACATGACCTCTAAATTGAAGTTTCCTTTTTAATTTAAGTAAAATTATCCCAGATCTGTCAGGTGGTCTGGGAAGAACATTGCATGTTTGACTACATTCAACTGGTACATTACATATTGCACCTTTAATTTTTCTTTGTTGTCCTTTTGGCATTATTACAATTTTTTCAAAGACTATTCTCTGGGCAACAAGAATTTGTTCAAGTTTCTCTAATGCAGCAAGTTCAGTGGGGGTTTCATCAACAAATAAATTGTTTACCACAGCTTGACAAGGCTGTTGACCTTTAAGTAGCTTAGCATGGCACGTTTTGCAGACATACTCTTTGCCATCAAAAGAACATTGAAGCATAAAACAATCCTGGCGAGGATATTTATTTTTCTGTAGGGTAATTACAGACTTTTTATACAATGTTCGGTTACACACACAGCATATGTAAAATGGACCTGCTTTAATTTGTTTTTTAAACTCATCAATGTACATGTCAATGTCATGAATTTGAGATTTCTTTTCCATCCTTTTTTCTTTCTTTCTATTCAGCAAATCATTTTTTTGTTCTGGATCCATTACTTGATACTTTGCTTTTTTGTTTTCTAATAGTTTCTGTTTTTGTTCTTCACTCATTTCTTTTTTATAATTCATATTTTTAGTCAGCACGTTCTCTTTCTTTGATTGATCTAAAGTTTCGTATTTAACTCTTTTACTCTCGAGTATTTTTTGCTTTTGTTCTTCACTCATTTCTTTTTTATAATTCATATTTTTAGTCAGCACGTTCTCTTTCTTTGATTTATCTAAAGTTTCGTATTTAACTCTTTTATTCTCGAGTATTTTTTGCTTTTGTTTTTTACTCATTGTTTTTTTATAATTAATATTTTTAGTCAGCACTTCTTCTTTCTTTGATTGATCTAAAGTTTCGTATTTAACTCTTTTTTTCTCAAGTATTTCTTGCTTTTGTTCTCCACTCATTGTTTTCTTATAATTCATATTTTTAGTCAGTACTTCCTCTTTCTTTGACTGATCTAAAGTTTCGTATTTAACTCTTTTATTCTCGAGTATTTTTTGCTTTTGATCTTTACTCATTGTTTTTTTATAATTAATATTTTTAGTCAGCACTTCCTCTTTCTTTGACTGATCTAAAGTTTCGTATTTAACTCTTTTATTCTCAAGTATTTTTTTCTTTTGTTCTATACTCATTGTTTTTTTATAATTCATATTATTAATGAGTACGTCCTCTTTCTTTGATTTATCTAACACTTCATATATCGTTCTTCTATTTTCCAATATTTTTTGTTTTTTCTCCTTAGCCATAATTTTGTAATCATTTACACGTTTAGAGTTAATTTGTTGTTTTACTAATGGATTAATCGTTTTGTATTTCATCTGCTTTGTTTCTAGCTTCTGTTTCTTTATAGCTGGTGCAGTGATTTCATTAATATAGTTCTGTCTGTGATTTTTCATAATCCTTTTTCTTTCACAGTTAGTCAATTCAGAAGAACAGCACAAGAATTGAATTTCATAATTTAAAATTTCATCCTTGATTTTGGTGTTTGCTAGGTTAAAGATAGCATCAACTAAAGTGTGTTTGTCTTTTATGTTTTTAACAAAATGTACAGTAGACGTAGGTGAGCTATCATCATCATCATATGCTAATATTGAGTACGACATATTCTTAATTGATGTTTTTTGAAATATGCAAGACATGCAATAATCTCCAAGCCAAATTAAAAAACCTGTGTTTCCATTTGTATGACAAATAAGGCTTTCAATAATCGGTTTGCTTTCTGCCATGTCATTAACTACTCCTTGAATATTAGCTTGCAATTTTACATGCATTTCAGTTCCACATATTTCAACTTTTTTAGATATATCACTAGACATATATATCCCAGTGTTGTTATGCAAAGTAGTGCCAAAGTAAACAACTGCAGATACTGTATTTGAATCCCAGTAAGTACATGGCTTAATAACAGAATAACAAATTGAATATAACGAAATCGCACAGCATTGTCTACACAAACAAGAAATGTCAGTGCTTTCAGATTCTTGTGTGGTATTACCCGATAGGTCAGAATTTGTAATATTGTTGTCTAAGTTCTGGTCAACATTGGCTTGTACTTCTTCAATATTAATTCCTCTTAGCTCAAATTGACTGTTTTCACTGTATAAAGACTGGAAATACAGAATTACATTGTCAATAGTTGGCGCCTCTAACAACACACATGTACCTTGTGGATTACTTCTGCCATAAATATCTCTTGAATGAGAGTCGAAAATTTTATACTTGCCATCAGTGGTGGAATATATGCAAACAGCATTGGAGTCAATTGTTAAGATGAATGCACAATAGTTTTCGACCATGAGCAATTCAAACGATCTGTGAAATGGAACACAGTACTGATACCCTTCAATAGAACAGTCTCCAATTACATTACCGCTATAGCTCTCACTGTACTCAAAAGCAAAATTTGTCTCAAAAACTGTGAGTTGTGAAGGCAATTCATTAAACAACAAAAATGATTGTCTTGCTAAACGTGACAAGTTTGAATAGAGTTCATTACCAATATTCATTATATGAACCAGGTCTTGTGGTGTGCATATGTTCTGTCTTTTGTTGTATATAAGAGTACATAAACACATTGCTAAACACTGCTGTCCTGCTGTTTCTCCAAATATGATCTGATTACCTTGGCTATATGGTGCACGGATTGTCTTGCTGGGATCAATATAAAATACAGGTCCAGGATTCGTCTCAATATCTGTACACAATGCTGACTGACAGACATTCTTTAAGTGGTTGACATTTTTGAACACCTGTTGTGCATATAAATCATGAGTCGAACCTGATAAATAGAATATATCTGCAAGAATACCTTCACAAATATAAAATTTTACATCTTTTGCTGAACGTTTTGTCCGGCATGTCTTTTCAAACTTCTCTGGGCAGTAAACATCTGGAATACACTTCAACCTAGTGTCTTGACAATGCTTAATATTATCTACTATATAATGAAGATGAGAAGATCTAGGTACAGACCTTTTGATGTTATGTCTAAGGCATTTTCTCAACAATCGACTTTTTCCAAACTTCCTAGTTAACCATTTCACCTGTATTCTACTGGGTTCACGGTCACGGTGGCGTAAATAGCAACCAGTGGCAGTAAAGTCGGTAACATGCTTTTGTATGCAGACATTATAAAATAATGCATGTCGTGATCTCACTGGGAGTTTCCTTATACGCCTAGCCTTGGGCTTTGATGGACTTGTTATTTTATTCTGGTCAAATTTAGAAATATAGTTGTTAGAAATATAGTTGTTAGATATATTTATACCTGACATACATTGATCTATGGACACATTCTTGTTTTCCACGTCATCTTTGCTCAACATTATCGACAAATTGTTGACCATGTGCTCGTTCATGACAGTACAGCAGCTTGACTTTGAGTTTACGTTTGTTTGTTGTAAATTTGTCTGTGTATTACCATTTGTCATTTCAGTAGTACTTTTGTCACATTTTTGTTCACTTTTTGTATATTTTTGGCAACTTTTTGTGTATTTTTGGCATTTGTTGGCAAGTTTTGGCAATTCTTGGCAGTATTCTTGGCAAGTTTTTTCGTACCCGAAGGTATTTTTCGATTCGTGGATGATCGACCCGGTTCGAAATCGCTCAACATCTTTTAGTGTAGGTCTACCACGAATAGGTGCAGAGTCATGCGAGGTGAGCGTATTTGAAATTAAATCACATTTACTTACCGTAAACATCGTTGTAAATATCTCTTTGCCGTATAAAATATTTCTTCTCAAAAGACTCAAAGCGTGGTACTTTGAAATGAAATTAAAACAGCGAAGGTCGCTGTTTCCATGTCAATTTTGGCTTTTCGCTGTTTCCATGTCAATTTTGGCTTTTCTAAGTAAAATTCTTTAATTTTCCTCAAAACCTAGGGTTATTTATGGATAATTTGGGTAAAAATTGGGAGGAACCTTATGGATAATTTGGGCAAAAATTGGCAGCTTATTAATATTCTATTTTGTGGCTATCAACGACGATCGGAAATCCGACATCTGACATCTGACATCCGACATCCACCACGCGTGCCGAAACCTATACTCGCCAGGGCACAGAGTGCCCCAGCAAGTAATAAACCTCGTACTCGGTTTATAACTCTAACTTATTTTATATACAAGGAGTGAAAATGTACTTTTAGTTTATTTGTATTTTGTTTGTGTGGCGATGTGCCAAGGCGCGATGAGTTTATAGTGTTCATTCTATAGGGTCGGCCGACCATGGGGTTTTGGGTATACAGGATATAATGGGTATTAAAGTCGAGTATACTGTATATTTACTTAAATGTTATGACTAATTTTGGATATTAGGTATACAGCTTCTGGTAATTTTAGGTATTTTGTAACATTTTGACCATAATAATAGGTATTTTGATCCATATTTTATTAGGTATTTAGGATACTACGACTCGATCCCCCTGGCTGAACCCTATTCTAGATGTTTATTTTATAGCAATGGTGCTTTCAGCACGTTTTAAAAACAAGTTTGGACTGTTACTTATGCACGTAATAGGCTTTATAGGCTATTAATAAGATTCCTATAGCAACACAGTGTGGGGATTATTGTCTGTATATATTGCCTTAATAACTTACCAGGCTACAGGTTAATTCCAGCAGTTTACATGCATGCAGATAGCATGTCAACCGACTTTTATATTTGTACAAGGTATGATGCTTGATGGCCTGTTTATAATGATCTCTGAGACATGTCCATTGTTAATATAATATGAAATAATCCTACCGGCCTACTCATACAGTACATTCATGCACCTGGCTATATATTCTTCGATAATGCTCACAATTTCTTTCTTATTAGGCCCATATAGTTTTGCGGTTGTTGACTGAGTACAATCTCTGACTGAGTACGTACAATGAATGGTGTCATCTGAAGCTCTTATATCAATTAAACAAAAATGTCAACAAATAGATTTTGTCTCCCCATCAGATTGTCCGGTTGTTTTGCGATAGGGATAGCCTTGAAGGTGCCATGACCATGTAAATGATAAGGGACCGGTCATTAATTACAGGGGAATAATACGCTCGATATAGTCCTAACAAACCTTAGCACTTACTACGACAAACCTACCAAATGTGCCCCGTTCGGGTTATCCGATCACGTGACCATTGAGATTAGACCAATTAAACGATCAAAAGTTCAAGGAACATCAACAGCATCAGTAAAGGTGAGAGACTTGAGACCTAGTTCCCGCCTTGCTGTAAGGAAATATATAGAGATGGTAGACATTCCCACCTTGCTTAACACAGGCCACTCTTGTGAAGAAAAAACATCTTTATTCCAAACAATAATTAATAATGGGTTGGATTCAATTATTCCGCTACGTAATAAAACTGTTAGATTAAATGAACCTCCATGGATGAACACAACTTTGAAAGGTCTTATAAGGAAACGACAAAAAGCCCTTAATCAGAAAAGAACTACAGAATTTAAAAGGCTGAGGAATCAAATCAACCGCCAAAGAAAAAAATGTCGGGCAAAATATTACGAAAATAGCGTACACCATTTAAAACAATGTAAACCATCAGCATGGTGGAAAGAGGTTAAAAAGCTTAGTGGAATGAATGTAATCGGGGGAACCTCAGATGAAATTGTGAAAGCTCTGAGACCAGGAGATGACCCTTCTAGCTCTGATAAAAGAGATTTAGCCAACGAGATTAATAATGCCTTTTTGGCTCCTATGGCTAGATATGTGCCGTTATCCTCAGTACCTCGTCAACATCTCATCCAACCTGCACAAAGTGATACAGTAATTACTGTAACATCGAATGCTGTTTTCCAAAACCTTCTCAAACTTAATCCCAAAAAAGCTCATGGTCCGGATGGCATACCGTCGTGGCTCCTAAAAGAAAACGCAGATCTATTAGCTGGTCCGATAGCGGCCATCTTGAACTGTTCATATCGGGGATGTACCCTACCGCCAGTTTGGAAGAAGGCGGACGTAGTTCCAATACCGAAAGAAAAGCCCATCCAGGATATCAATCGTCAGTTACGCCCTATTTCACTTACACCTATTCTATCGAAACTCGCAGAAGAATTTGTTGTAATGATTTATGTGAAGCCAGCAGTGATGGAATTGATCGATAGTAAACAATTTGGGACGGTGCCGGATAGTTGTACGACATATGCTCTTATAAGCATGCTACACACTTGGAATAAGGATACGGATGGTAACGGTTCAACAACTCGAGCTATGACGTTTGACTTCCGTAAAGCATTTGATTTAATAGACCACAATATTTTATCGGAGAAGTTAACAAAGTATAACATACCGAGGTCTGTCATGCTTTGGATCTTAGACTTTCTGACTGACCGAGAACAGAGGGTAAAACTCAGCCAAGATTGCCATTCCGAATGGGGAAGGTCCCAGCCGGCGTCTCCCAAGCACAAAGCTCGGCCCATGGTTATTTTGTATTATGATTAATGATCTAAGCGTTAAGGACGTTAATGATTTATGGAAATATGTTGACGACTCATCCTTGTCGGAATCAGTTTGTAGAGATGGTCCAAGTAACTTACAAAAGTACGTAGATGAATTTAACCAGAAATCAACAGCTAAAGGTTTTCAGATAAACGAATCAAAATGCAAA